CTCTTTTTTTTTTTTTTTTTTTTTTTTTTTTTTTTTTTTTTTTTTTTTTTTTTGGAACTGGGGGTTAAACTCAGGACCTTGGGCTTTTGTGAGGCAGGTGTGGTGCCACTGAGCCAAATCCCAGGCCTTAGCATTCTGTTTCATAAGTCTGACTACTCTTAGTGCCTCATATAGATATATAAATGGAATTATGTAATATATGTATTTTTGTAATTAGCTTACTTCATTTAGCATAGTATTCTCAAGGTTCATCTCTGTTGTGGCATGTGTCAAATTTCTTGCCTATTAAAGGCTAGTACTCTACTGTACCTATGTATCATATTTTGTTTATCCACTCATCTGTTAATTGACATTTGCCTTCACTTTTTTGCCTGTTGTGAATAATACTGCCATGATCTTGGGTGTGTAAATATCTGTTTAAATTCTGAATTTCAATTCTTATGGATATATACCCAGAAGTGGAATAGCTAATAATCATGTGGTAATTCTGTTTTTAATTTTTTGAAGAATTACCATACTGTTTTCCATAATGGACATATGATGTTACAGTCCATCAACAGTATACCAGGCTACTAGTTTCTCCATATCTTCACTAACACTTTTCAGATTTTTGATAGTAGATGTCTCAGTGGATATGAAGTTATATTTAAGTGAGATTTTTGATTTACATTTCTCTGATGGCTAATGTTATTGAGCATTTTTTTCATGTGCTTGTAGATCATTATATATTTTCATTGTAGAAATGTCTGTTAAGATCATTTGACAATTTAAAAGTTGTATTGTTTTTCTTTTTATTATGAATAGTAGAATCTGTATGTATTCTAGATACAGATCCCTTATGAGAAACGTTATAAATATTTTTTCCCATTTCTGTGGGTTGTGTTTTTATTTTCTTGATGGTATCTTTTGAAGCGAAAAGGTTATTTTTGATGAAGTCTAATTTTTTTCTGTCATTGATTATGCTTTTCATTACACATCTAAGAAGGCTTTTCCTGACTCAAAATCATGAGGATTTACTCCTATATTTTCTTTTACCAGCTACTCTTCAGAGGACTAATATCTAGAATACAAAATAACTCAAGAAATTATACCTCCGCAACATAAAAGACCCAATCATAAAATAGCAAGTGAAATGAATAGACACTTTATAGATATATAAATGGCTAATAAATACATGAAATACTCAACATTGTTGGACATTAGAGGAGTGAAAATTAAAACACTGGAATTCCATTATACCCCAGAGAGAATGACTATCATTAGGAAATAAAATAATGACAAATACTGCCAAGGCTGCAGGGAAAAAGGAACACTTCTACGTTGTTGGTATGAATGGAAACTCATACAACTACTATGAAAATCCGTTATGGAGATTCCTTTAAAACATTAAAACTAGAAATATCATTTGGCCTAACTATTCCCCTTCTAGTTATCTTCCAGAAAAAATTGAAGACATCATATTACAGTGATACATGCATACCAGCGTTTGTAGCAGCAAATTCATAACAGTTAAATCTTGGAAGTAGCCTATAT